CTTCTCCTTCCTCCATTAAAACTCCAAGTCCCGGAATCACATGGCTGACACTTAGTTTTCAGCAAAGAGAAAAGAATTGTAGCTGTTATGCCTGCAGGGAGAACCTTGAACATTCAAATCCTAAAAACACAAACAGAATATAAACCAAAACATAAACTTTTATTTTTTAATAAATCTCATTATTTTATTTGAATGTAATATGCCTTGCAATTTTTAACATAAGATACAGCGTTAGTGTAAACCTAGCAGTTGCTTTCTAAGCAGACAGCAGCTAGAGATCCAAAAAAAGATTCCCAGCTGCTATCATAGTCCTCATCAGCACATAATGACTGGCGAGCTGGAATTGTGGGTAGCTCATTTAAAGATGTCACGTATTTATATATTCTCTGTTTGGCAGATTAACCCCTTCCCCGTGCTGCGGGAGCGTGCTCGATGCTCAGTTACCAGCATCCAATCCCCCTGTGCACGGCTCTGTGCAAAGGAGCATGACACGATTGCTCCAATAACGGCGCTCACAGCTGAGAAAGGCTCAGGCCACACACAAGGCCACAGCAAGCCCTCAGTCTGTCACAGTCTATCCCCCATGGAGAGATCCAGACAACTTTCTGTATGAAGTTCCGGTCCCCCGATCACCTATCCACATCTAATCCTTTGGGGTATACTGTTAAAAGATAAATAAAGACTTTAGGGTTTGCTCCCAGCACTTTTCCTTAGCTTCCATGTGTAACAACAAGAAAATAAAGATTCGAGCTGGAATTTTTCCAGGCCTATGCAGAATAATTACTCCCTGAAAATTCTCTTCATCTTTATCCTTGTGGATTTGAATGCATCCTTGAGAAATCTTTCCCTCATTCCATATTGATTAGAAAACAGGACATAACAGTTTCAATTAGCATACTCAAACCAAGTTTACGCCTTGTGGAGGCACCTACCCTACATCTCGTAATTCACCATTTTTCACTGATGCCACAACTGCCATCCATTTCTAACTTCCACTCTCCCAAAAGAGTAGATCAGAAACAAGGGGCAGATATGCCAGATCAGTCAGAAGGGTTGTTGTAACTGCCAAGAAATCCTTTGGCTGATTCAACCATTTTATAATCATCTTACATTTCAGTGCACTGACTCTCAGCCAAAAAGCCTTCATAGCTGTGTCTCAGTCCCTGCCACAAAAGAGCAAAATCGGAAGACCTGGAACTATAACGGCGTTATCAACAGTGATAGAGAAAGCATCCAAATTCTCACTCTGAAGAGAAACAAACGGCAATTTTGGGGGATGCCAAATGAAGTAGCCCTCAAAATAGATGAAGTTTCTATTTATTCCTCCGCATGGGGAAGTGTAAAGAATGGAAATCTACAATAAAATTTGCACATCCATTCTTGCAGTTTTTCAAAGCTCTCCAGACATATCAGTAAACATGCATAGTCAATCCTGTAAGAATCTATAGAGATTAAAAAAGCTGCGTGAACTCTGAATATTCATCCATTTGCAAGATATTTCTGCTGCCGTTTTGTCACACTGTTTCCTTTTAGCAACATAAGATTTTAAAAAGAACTGACAAAGTACTTTGTATTTAAGAGATTTCTTACAGAAAGACCTACTAATTCCTTTTCCTCAACATTAATGCCCTCCTGAGAAACATTGATACTCTAAAGAAAGCTACAATACTTCTTCAGTAGCTTTTATTAGGCAGCATGTTCAAGTTACAGGTTGTAACCTGCTCAACTCCGAACAGATCCAGCATGTTTGCATCGATACAAGAATAACTATAAAAACAAGTCCTAGGAATATTAGCGAATTCTGCCTCACAAAAAATCACTTTTTAACAGGTAAGTTTTGTGAAGGAGATAATGAAGTGACCTGTGCAGTGCCCGACAGAACCTGAAACGCAAACCATGTGTCAGTCTAAAAGACTGTACAACCTTGGTTTAATCCTCAGTGCAAAGCCTTACCTTGCGCCTGAAATTCCTTGTCACTCCTGCTGGAGCTGCAGTTCCACCATCGCTGCCTTCTGTAGCCTGATGAAAAGCAAGCTGCACACGGACACGTGCAGTTCATCTGCTGTTTTGTGACCACTGCCTAAAGGAATGTGACTTCAACTCTCAGGGTCTTGTGGCTGTCAGGGCAACTTATCCTGCTCACATGAGAGAAGGAGTGCTTTCCACTCACAGGAATCTTGCTTTATTTGAGGAAGAAATGAAATGTGTGAATAAAGAGTCCTCTATTTCTCCTTAGCTGGTAAATACAGGATTTAACCTAATAAACACTTCTCTAGGGTAAGGACATCATCTTCTGTTGTGGGGTTTTTTTTGTTTAAATCCACAGGATTTCTCTTCCCCTCTTTCTCCCGTATTCAAGATGAGAGAAGCTTCAGTGAGCACAGCTACCAGTATTCCAATTTATTCAGCAGCAACCCCTGTGGACTGCTAACAGCAGACTGTGATTCTGTTTGGATTACAAGGTACAGATAAGTAATTCCATCCTTAATCTATCACTGTCAAAGCTGGTAATGGAACAACTTTTACCTGTGAGAACTCAGGTGGAGGAAAAGACCAAGACCGTGTTTAAAAAAAAAAAAAAAAAAAAAAAGTGTGGGGCAAAAGGACAGAAGAAATAGAGAGGATACAAGTCCATTAAGAGTTCTGGGCACACATGCATGCAGAGGTAAGTAGGAAATGAGGGAATGGGATAAAGCATCAGGACACTAATAGGAAAGCAGCATAGCCAGATTCCAAGCAGAATTTTTCAACAGCAATGAAAATCTCACTTCCAACATAATCTATGCCTTCTATTACACTGATCCCAGGGTAAAATGGTAGAGATGTTTTACATCGGTAAATGCTGATGGATACTACTACATCGCAGCCACGATAAATAATTCTGAAGCAAATCATAATGGAGCCTCAAAGCCTTCACATACAGACCTGTCAGTAAACTGGGACAATATTACAAATAGACAACAAAGGATAATGCAAAGATTGCAAAAATGGAACAATGCAGACACAAGTGGATTTCTTGGAGGATGGAGTGGAAGGCAGAAAAGATGAAAGGGGAGGAAAGCTATTTAGACATAAGTGATGGAGAACATCAATAACCCACACTTGTCTTATGTGATGGAGGATTCAGAGATGGAAAATAGTGAAAGCAATAAGGAGGCCTGGGATTAATTTTTCTTTTTCTTTTTAAAAGAACCCTCAGTAGTGACTCCATCACTATACTTCACTACAGTCATCATCTACAATTAAAATTTACCCATTCAGCCTGGAAAAGTCCCTTTCATATTTTTAACAGAGAAACAATGTTATTTTATGTGCATATAAAAGACTCCTTTGATTTTGCTATAGGATTTCAGTATTTTTATGTTATTTGCTTGCCTGACGAGGTGTCTGGCAGATATGTCACATAGTCCCAAACATGTAAAAGGGGTTATTCATCCTAGATAAAGGTAAAAAAAAGCTGCCTTCTAAGCAGGCACTACCTTGTAATTAAAATAAAACTTGGAACAATTTATTTTCAACCAACACTACTTCTGGAATGTCCAGTGCTATAACTCAAATACAGATGCACTATTGATTATTCTCTTCTTCCCAAGCTTACTCACTGCTTTTCACAGTAAGCAGATTCTGTGCTCCAGAGTAAACAATCCAAAGTGTAGCCAAGCAAATTTTATACCCTAAGAAGTCTATACCCTAAAAAATGTTGTTTGCTTTATTAAAAGCATGCTTGCTGATGGCGTAAGACATTGGAAGGAAATGAAAACCCAGAAAGCTTCATTATCACCTTTTTCAGCTCCAACCCAAATCCACTGACTTGGACTGCTTAAGGAAGACAGAAGATGAGTTCAAAGAATAAGAATAGGGCAGAGAATTATTTTAATAGTAGTCAATGGAGATCTTAGCAAAAATATTTGAAAATTACGAAAAACAATAAAGAAACCAACCTACTGCAGTGTGAAAGACTACTAAAATAAGGGGGGGGGGAGAGAACAAGATGCTGAGATACTAAGAAGAAAGCAACTAAGAAATCAGACAGAGAACTTTCGCCGTGGGTATGGTAACACAGTCAAACACAAGGAAAAGTGTGAACTGGAGGAAATGATAAGGGATCAAACGTTGGCCCGGGCTGGGAAGAACCGCAGCTCAACTTCCTCTCTGGACACAGCGGCCTCACAAACTGCCTGCTCTAAACGTGCTGATCAAGCCTCGTGGCCGACTTATAAATCTGCCGCAGCAAAGCACAAAGCCTGGTGCAATTCCCGCTCCTCCTCCAAGCCCCGAGGGCAGAGCGACCCAAACGATGGGATCGGGCGGAAGGGGGGAATGCCAGCTCTCGGCAGAGCGCATGCGCAAGAAGGCACCGGGTGCCGGGGCCCTTCCGTACGGAACATTGTGTCCCGCGGGTTCCTGGGCACGAAATGGAGGTTTCTCACCCTCGCTTGCCTCTTCCCTCCTTGGTGCTGCCGCAGCCCTTTGCCCTTAACTTTTATTATTTTCTGCCTCTGTCCCCAGAGGGTTCATTTCAGCCCCTTGGTACAGTCCCCTGTGCTCTACCCAATAACAAGCCGAGTCCCAGTGACGTACTTAGTTGCCGGGCAGAATTCCGATCCGTTCCTCCCGTAGCGCCGTGGCGTCACCGGGAGGGACGGGGGGTCGGGTTTGAACGACGGCGCGCTTGGTGGGCGGGAAAAAGCCAAGGGGACCAATAACAACTGCGGGAGGCGTTGACGAGCAGGGCCCGCAGCCAACCGGGACGGGCGGGCGGTCGCTCGGTTGCCAGGGCCGCGCGGTTGCCAAGGCCGCGGCTCAGCACCGTGGTGGCCCTGCCGCCCTCCCTCTCTCTACCTTTCTCCCTTTCTCCTGGCCCGCCGCCTGCTCGGGGCCATGGTGAAGCTCGCTGCCAAGTGCCTGCTGGCAGGTGAGTCTGGCCCGCCCGGTCCCGTCCGCCCCGCTGGCTGCAGGGGCCCAGAGCGGGCGCTGTGGGGTGCGGCGAGGCCGGCAGGCGGTCCGGCCTGGGTTCCCGCAGCCCCTCGTGGAGGGGACGCCCCGACGGAGAAGAGGTGGGGAGAGGAGTGAGGACCTCGGCTCCCTCGGGACGGGAGCGGTGGAAATCCCGTTTGTCGTAGCCAGACCCGTGTCCTCTCCCTCCTGAGACACGCGGGGAGTCAAGAGCTGTGCCCAGGGGAGGGTGTGAGGTGTAGGTCGGACTGGCTGAAATGCAAGGAAAATATCTGAAAAAAAAAAGGGGAGGGGAAAAAACCCACCAGAAAGAATGTTTTTGCAGAGTGGAAAGGTGGGCAGAGGATGGGGAAAGTGCGAAGGGAGCAGGGTAGACAGCTGAGACCTGCGTCGCTCCTGAGTCTTGATTTGGGCTGACATGAAAAATTCATGTCAGAAATCGAGGTGATTCTGAGTGTGATAGAAAGGTAAAGCCTAAGTAAAGAATAGAAGGATGAAGCATGTGCACTTCACAGACATGTCTTATTCCCCAAGCAAGTTGGAGGTTAACCTGGAAAAAAAGTGAGGTGAAGGCATCGGTTTATTTAGTCAGAATGGATTATGGAGCTGTTGAAAGTAAGTATAGCTGACTGTTAACACTGCAGGAAGAAAACTTCTTCCCTCCCTCTACATTAAAACTCTGTGCAGCCTCAGCCAGAAGCACAAATTCATAAAACCTTTGTGTGCAGTCAACTCCCAGGTTTAACTCTTCACTCCAAATTCTTTCATACAGAGTAAAGTGTTTGCCTATTTTAACCTCAGCTGGCCATCAACTCGTACAAAGTCATGTGCAAATGCAAAAGTTAATCTCCCTTGTGCCTCTGTTGCAGTGGACAGCATGAGTATCTTCTCGATTTGAAACTTACACATCATTTCCAATTTGGAAGTTTTCTGCTTCCGATACATAGGCTTTGTAAAGTCTTTCTACTTTTGTTGTTTACTGTTACCAAAGGCCAATTCCACAACCATTTTAAAATCACATAGGTTTTCATTGGATTACCTGTTTATGTGCTTAATCCTAATTGGGTCTGGAGCTGCCTTTTCAATTCTGTTCACGACACAAACAACAGGAAGGTCCTGTCCCTTATGTAGTTCTCCTATGTGCTACAATAATACCCATGTATTATTAAAAATAATAAATTAAAGAAGCAGACCAGGCAAAATCACTTCTCTCTTGCAGAAGAGACCAATATAGTGAAAGAGACATAAGAGATGAGTAACCACAACTACCTAAAGCAAACAAGAAAATACAATTACATAGGTAGGAGCAAAATGATCAGAAATGGAACAGGGAGCTTTTGTGTACCTAAGGAAATGGTTATGAAGAGTCAATGGCTCACAGAATTGGGAGCTGGACCAAGGTCATAGGGGAAAAGAGCTTTTATCAGCAAAACAGAGACTATTAACTTGACAGTAGAAAGTGATTCCTGTGTTATCTCAAGGGTAATTTACAGACACACAGTAAAAGATACAGTCTGAGCTTACTGTGGAGACACTACACAAAGGTTTTCATTGCAAAGACAGTAGGCAGTAGGAGGCATTTTGGACACACTACAGATTCTGGCAGAATAACAGAAATATGGGTAAAGTATATGCTGTGGAATGCAGTACTAGCAGATGAGACCAAACTAATTGAAAAGGGCAAGGAAACTTATTTTGAGGAAGTATAGTGGTGTCGGGCTAAAGAGGATGGCAAAGAATAAGAAGAGGGAAAGAACAGCGGAGGCTGTCAAATAGAAAAAAGGCAACACATTAGTTAAGAATTTGTGCTAGATGATGCCTTCGAAGTTTGGAGCAATGTGTACTTCTCTCTCTCATTTTACAAAGACTGATCTAATTGTCTATTGAAATACAGAATAGCTTCCACTCAGAACAGAGTGTTGTCTTCCGCACAAGCCTGAACTGATCAGGGAACAAACAAGCTGACTTACCAGATTTTCCTGTCTAAATATTATGAGCCCAACTCAGTTCAAAGTAAGTAAGCATGCTAAAAATGTTTAAAGAAGAGCTACATTTGGTTAATGCATCTAGGAGCAATTGTTACTATCCAAAACCTCCTTCCTCCTCTGTAATATTATGTGACCAGAAAAGTCTACCCATTTCCTTCAAAACACCATCTAGGAAGCTGTAACAGGGTCAAAATATACCCCTTTCTGGGTTAATTTATTAACAACATAATGTAAAATATTTGTATTCCAGGCTTGGCTGTTATGAGTGTACCTGTAAAGCGTAAAGCTTGAACCACTGAGGTATTTAATTCCTGGCTCCTGTCCTTTTGACTATCCACGCTAGAAGAACATTATGTGAAAAGATTATAAACCCTTTGGAAGCATTAACTTAAGTCTTTGTTTTGGAAGGGTTATGATATTTTTCATGAAGTAATAGGGGCATATGTGAATTCTGCAGTTCTCTGCCATTGCTTTGGATCTTGCAGAGTTTTGTAGCAGCAGCCAAAGCAGGCAGCTGCAAGGTTTGCCCTAAGTGTTGTGCAAGCCATATCAGTAAGCCTTGGCTCTAGAAGAGCAAAAACTAAAGCCTCTTGGTTTTCCTTCTGTAAAGGGATGAATCAGCAGGCTCTTTCTCTCTGACATTTGCTTCTGTTATGCCCAGGATGCAACTACTAATGAGCCACCAGCAGCATTGAGTCAGCAAGAGCTGCTCTCTTAGCAGGGACAGCAAGAAGAGTTCATTGAGGAATGTTACCAGCTTAAGCAGCTTTGTTTCAGTATATAAGAAGGATTTGAATCTGGGGAAATGGGTAACATAAGGAGAGGAAGTAGCTTCCTATGCAGCCCACTGTCCCTTATCACATTGCTATTTTTTCTACATGGTTGCATATCTGGGAAATTTTAATTCTTAGATAAGGGCTATGATGTAGGCATACATTTTAGAACAAGCAGCAGTTCCACCCTGATCTGGCAGTCCTTTGCTGTTGTTTGTAGATCATAAATCTAATGTCAGCACAAGTATGCGTAATGGCAATGTTCATTTCCTCATGTGGGTATTACCTTTTAGATTGCTGTGTGCTTCATGTGACAGTTATCTTGCCTGTATTCAGAATTAGAGCATCCAGGCTTTTAGGGCATGTGATAGTAAACAGAACTGAGGGAAAATAAGATTATCTAGAATGAAACAAAAATCTTCTATGTTTTTTGGTGTTGCAGGAGACCCAGCTGTGGGGAAGAGTGCTTTAGCCCAGATGTTTCGCAGTGATGGGGCTCATTTTCAGAAGAACTACACACTGGTAAGAACACAACAGGCTCAGATTGCTGTCTAACATTTTTCTAAGTAGAATGAGGAAATTAAGAGGCCTAGAGCAAAATTGGTGTGATTTTAAGTTGAGACATTCAAGGTAGGATCTTGTAGGATCTTCTTTCTCTTACACAGAATCTCTCTAGATTCTGAAGGGAAACCCTTTAATGTTCTGTAAGTCTACATTATGTAGGTGCTGGTGTTGACACTTAATGCAGAGTAATTTAGTTAATTTTCCTGACAAACCAATGTTTTCACAAGCTTTTGTGGTGTTAGAGAGCTTTCCCCTTTAGGGAGTGCTCTGTGAAAAAGCCTTGCAGAAGGAGAAACCTTTTAATTTCAGCTATTAAATGTGCATGTGGACAGTGCGCTTATCACTATGCAAACACGAAGATGTGCTGCATAGCCCCAAGATAATTATAATCTACAGAAACTGTTCCCAGATGAAGAGGATACAGTTTGCAGTCTTTCAGTGTAAGAATCAATGGTGATGACTAATCAGAATCAGGATAAAAATAAAAGGAAATATAAGTAAAGTAAAAAAAAGGAAAATATGAGTGTGGAGGAAAAAAAGCCCTAAATTTTGTTTATTCATTGAAATGAAGATGGAAACCAGAAGTTAAGGATAGAAATAGAACAAACAAACAAGCTACAAAGCAGAATGAGATAAAAGGTGGAAGAAGCACAAATAACCTCAGTTCCATATGTTAGCTGATCACATGGTTGGTGCAAAACGTTCTCAGGCATGTGTTAGAGCAGCAATGTGAGAGTAAATGTAGCCCTACAGATTTCAGCTAATACTCTTAGCTGTATATAAGCAAATCTCTTTGGTTCTTCTACTCCTTTTTCCCCCAGCTGAGCAAATCTACGAGTCTTTGACATGTTGGTGGGATTATGTTACCAGAGCTCTGAGGAGTATTGCTGAGTTCCCAGCAGTTTGTGCTTGATGGGATTGTAATGATTCACGAGAATTGCCTCAATCCAATGCATAGTTGGTATGCAGTTGGACAGGCTCTTAAAAACTCTCCTGATCCTCGTTTTCCTGATTCTTCTTGACAGACAACGGGCATAGATCTGTTGGTGAAGGCTGTATCAGTTCCAGAGACAAGTGATAGTGTGGTGAGTTTTTCTGTGACATAAATTGGGTCAGAAAGAGACATCCAGAGCTCAAACCTCGCAAGCCTCATTATGATGGAAGATCACTATGCATGTTCATATGGCAATTAGGTTACATTAAGGAAATATCATGTATGATTGCTGATACTCCAGGGTTAGTTTAGTCTTAAAAATGTAAGTTTTACGTACTTGTATCCAACACAACATTGTAAATCAAAGTTGTTGCCAGCTTTGTTTGAGTTTCTGTTCTGTCCTTTAGGGCATTCAGGTTTAGCTAACGTTTCTTGGAAACTAAAGAAGCTGAAACTTATCTGTTATTTTCCCTTAATGCCCTATACCCCCACTAATGGAATGTGGACCACATGTATAATTTCATGTAAATAGTAGAAGTTACTGAGCCACTCCACCTATTCTGTTTCCAATAGAGATGGAAACCAGACTTGGAGCCTTGGAGGTAAGCCGTTGATTGGTTATACTTGAAATACAGCTTTTTATTTTTCTCACACTATCTAGAGTTTTCTCAGTGCGGGGAATTTGTCCCTTAGGGACATGACACTGCTGTACTGAACAAAATGTAGGAGTTACAAGTTGCGGTATTTACTTTCAAAACCTTTCCCTGCACTGCATTTTTCTTGGCAAGAGCCTTCTTTCTGTTTCCGCTTTCAGGAATTCTTCATTTTTGACTCTGCAGGAAAAGATCTATTTTCTGAAATGCTGGAGAAACTGGTAAGTCTTATGTAACAGTCCTCTTCTTCCAAAGAAGCGCTTTCGCTTTGAAGATCTGAACTCCCCAGTCTGGCAGATGTAGCAAACTTTGTCTTTAGTGTAAATGGGAGCAATTACCTCAGTTGCCAATGTGTCCTGTTCTACCTCTCTAAACCTTGTAAAAGTATTAGGAGAAATACTTTCCAGAGGAAGTGAAGCAGATAGGCAGTTTTCTTACGAAAGAGATGCAGATTTTTTTAACCAAGAATTTCTGTGTACTGTTGGTTAAAGTTATTTTTTTCTTCTTAGGAAATTACCTATTTTTCTGCTACTTCGATAGTGGGGGAGGGGTTTTGTTACAGTGATGTGTTTGATCTAACAGGATTCATTCTTGTCCTTTGAGTATAATAGTGCCCTTGGGTTTTTTCCTTCACGTATCTGTGGCCTTAGCCACAGTTCTCTACTGTGTTATCTCATTTTGAGAGGTAGAATCAGCTGATGTGAGGTTTCATAACATGGCTAAGTCAACCTAATGGTTCATTATTCTACCAGAGGCAATTCCACTTTTGCCCTTGTGCTAGATCTGGTTTGCAAGGGACTCCTTTAGAAGCTGGCTCAGCTTCTCAAACTGGAAGAAAACCTTTCTACTTTTTTCTCTAGGATTAATTTTGTGCTGATTCAGCATGAAGAATCAGCTTCCCCAGGGATCAGATGAAAGCCAGAGCAGATACAAGTAAAGGAGCAGGACTGTACAGACAGGGAAAGAATAGGGAAAGAGAGCAAGACCACCTCTCCCAGTGCTAGTGATCCATTTAGTTGGGTCATTTGAAATGTCAAACCTCAGCCAGGGCATAGGATTCCTATGTATTCGTCTTTTTATTTTCATCGTAGCAGCTGTGTTTGCTGTGTTTACAGCCTGGCTGTTGGCAACATCAGTTTCATTAGAGCTGACAATGTTCCTTTCTTGCTGCGCAGTGGGAGCAACCCAACGTTCTGTGCCTTGTGTATGATGTCACTAATGAGCAATCTTTCAACAACTGTACCAAATGGCTGGAGAAGCTGAGGGCTCAAGCAGTTGGGGTGCACATCCCAGGTGAGAAATGGCCGTGATTCTTGTTATGTACTCCCCTCTTGTATAAGAGCAGTTTTTCCCATTGAGATGTAGCATGGAGCATTTATTTTAAGTCAGGGCATCTTCCAACTCATTTGCTTTTATAACAAAGCAGGTAAGGTATGAATATGTTTCCTTTTTTGAACCTTTTCCAGGTAGTTGTAGACTTTGTCCACACCTCCAGCTTTTTCAACTGCTTCTATAAATGTTCCAGCATTTATTGTTAACAAGTCAGCATTGATGGGCTGCTTTTTTTTTCTTGTTTCATGTCTTTTTTTCTGCAGGTGTCCTAGTGGGGAATAAAACAGACCTAGCTTATCGCCGAGTTGTGGAGCAGAAAGAAGCACAGGAGTGGGCTGAGAAACATGGCCTGGAATACTGTGAGATGTCAGTGGTGGGTATCTGCTCCTTTCACCATCTGTGGAAGTAGATGTTTGTAATTATCTTCTCTTTCAGGTAAAAAAAGATAATCAGGGCTTCTCTTCCCCTTGTTTGTCATCTAACTCAGTTTTAATCTTTCGTTTGTGGGGCAGAACATAAATAGTCAAATGCTTATTCCATCTGTCATTCACAACTTTCCTATTGCTTTACAGAAGGAGATGAAAAATTTTGAGGCCCCTTTCCACATCCTGGCAAAGTTATTCCACCAACTGTACAAAGAAAAAGTGGAAACTTTTCGCTCACTAGCATGACTGGTATGCCTTATTTATCCTCTAAGCTTCTTCTAGTGCCTAGAATCCTGCTGAATGGAATACAGAGAGAAGAAAAAAGATGAACTATTTGCTTCTTCGTGGTCATCTTCTGGTAATTCAAAATAAACTAGAAATAAGCAAGTGGAAAGACACTCTTACGAAGTTGCTACCTCAGCATTCCTTTCATGTCCTCTAACTTGGTTCTCTGCTCACTGAAAATCTGCTAGGTTGGAGGAGGCGGGGAGTAAAAGGGAAGGGCAGAATGGAAATTGCCAGCTCTTTGCTTTGATATCTTCTTGTCTGAACAGACTTCCTGCTGCTACAAGCAAGGATTTAGAGGTTTGGAAGCAGAGAGAGGAAGCTGACAGGATGCTTTTCGACTTAAGCAACCCAACCTTGACGCGTACCTTGCAGGGCTGGACTGATTTGGCCCTACGTCTTGAAAAGCATTTTCTGGAGGAGGCCTATGCCCTAAAATCAACACCTGGAGACTGAGATATGTGGGAACTGAGCTGGATTTAGGTGTGTTTCTAGGAGTGCCCACAGTTTGAGGCCTGTTTTAAAAGTGTTGCCCTTAGCAGTTGTAGGAGTGATATGCTGGTGACTAATACGTGTTTCTGGTTTCTAGAATGTTTCTTTCCTTCGACATGGCTCACTGTCACTGCCTGGTGGGAAGTGTCTCGCGTCTGTACTGCTGTCACTTGGTGACGCAGTGCCCTCTGCTGGTCCCAGGTCACAGGAGTTGTCCAGAGGCTGCCACCTCCCTTGAAGTGAGCGGGAAGGACTTCCTGCAGGCACATCCAAATTGGTTAATCTGCAAAATGGGGTCAAATTGCAAGAATACCTCTTCTATTCTAAAGACGAGTCCAAAATGTAGAACAAATTACCTTTTCTTCGTTATGTCTTTGTCATCTTATATTTTTTTGTGTCATTTTTGTCAGCTGAACTTGGCAATACCATTCTGATAAGGTTCAGTTCTCAATCTCAAAATCAGAGTCCTGTTTCTTGTTAAACTCTCCCTGCTTGTCATTGACTTTCGGATTAAAGACCACGGTTCTGGTGTTGCTAATGGAAACGGGACTAGGGAAATGAAAGACAGCCTGGGTAAGTTGCTCTGACTCAGCCGTGTCTGGGTAGAAGTTTCGTATTAGAAAGGGCAGAAGCCTAGAGAGAGCTGCTCTTTTGTGTGGAGCACTGACGTGTCATGTGTAAGAGTCATTGCTAATGCAGAATGCAAAAGCACCCGTGATAAGGTCCTGGCTTCTAACTGAGCCTAACACCAAGAGTTTCAAAAATTTAGCCTTTCTCTTCTCCCAGATTATCATGACAGCCTCCCCGGTGCAAGAGAAGCTGAATTTTGTAGAGAGTAAGCACTGAGTGATTTTTCAGGCAGGATTTTCAGGAATGTGTTTCAAAACTTTTATACATATGGTTTCTAATCATTTTTATGGCCAGTGCTAGGAAAAGTACATTGAACTGAACATGAGAAATATGGGTGCAGATGTTGCAGCAGAGTTTACGGACCACTTCAAGAATCTGGAGAAGCAGCTGGGCTCATTTTGCTGACAACAGTGTGTTGATGCTGGGAATTAACTAGGAAACTTGAATACCAGATAAAGAGGTTGAGTAGGAGCTCAACCTGCAAGAAACTAAAAAGAAGAGGTTCTTTTGCTAGAAGCCACCTCAAAAACAACAGAACAGCTGGGAAAGCTCCTGCTTTCTCCAAAGAGGAAGGGGTCATCCGTGAGCTTAGGGTGACTAGAAAACTCACTCATTTCTGAATTGGATTGGCGTTACTGGCATATGGATCTTACATGGGTGTCTTGTTAATCGTGGGAGTTTTCTGTTGGTTTACATAGGCTGAGTAGACTCTTACCTCCAGGTGCTGGTACCTCTGACTATTCAGAATAAAGTTATTTTTAATGCTGTGCTGATCTAGTTAAAGGACTAAAGAAGTTTTATTTTGGTTTGGTAGCTCATTTCCCCCTGGTTCTATTGATGATATGATTACAAAACAAGACACATGTTTCTTCATATTGAAAATAACATACCAGGTGTGTATGCCACCTGTGACCTGGTGTATACAAGGGGGATGAATGCCTTGGGAATAGATAATAAAATGAATCCTCTGCAATCTTTAACCAGGGAGTCCATCTCTTCAAACCAGAAGGCCCTCCCATAACTTCAAATAAGCACTTTAAACGCACCAGTAAGATGAAGATTGGTGAACTCTGTTTTATTAAATGAATGCAAAAGCTGGAGGATCTCATTAAGAGAATGCTTGCAGTGGTGATTTGTGATTTATAGGGAAGCTGTTTTTGAGAGGTTAGTGAAGAAAAATGCATCCCATGCAGGGAAAGATATATTGCCTGAGAGAGGAAATGTATGATCCAATTAGCTAGCAGTAGGGATTCACCCACTGCCCCTTTCCCTCTTCCACAGGCCATAACTACAATTAGAAAAGAAGTGGTGTCTAAAGCATGTTGTCCAACTTGTTTTTTACAGGATTATTTCAAGCACTAATGTAGAGACAGTTTAATGTCCTTCAAAAGGGTGTGTTTGACAATAACCATCCAACCCTTTCAAATGCATTTTAAAAGCACCATATATTGTCCTTCCTGTCTAATGTGCTATATAATACCAGCATGATGCAGGTGGTGCTTCTTGCTATTTTCCTAGCTTATTTGTGACCTTGATTGTATAGGCCAGTAGTGAAGAGTGGGAAGAGAACATGAGAGCCAGACTGTGGAAAATAGTTTTGTGTCTGCGTGAAGGAGTTCAGGGTGGTGAGTAGGTGAGCTGGGCGAGCAGGATGAGTAAGAGTCTGAAACCATTATTAAGTTTCTCTTACTATATTTACGAACTGTTGTGGTCACATCTGTGGGGTGAAGATGTGTGTTTGCTGCCTACAGCCGTAGCATCAGTCTGAATTACAAGTGCTGTGGAGAACAGTGGGAGGAAGACAGAAAGCCTGTCTGCTGACCAGGAAGCTTGTTGTCTTCTTACAGCTCCCCTGCTTTGTCCAGCTGTGCAGTGCTGCAGGTGCTCAGCACGAGCATTACAACACAGAAAAGACCCAACTTAACCAGAACTGAAATTTCAAAAGAAGGGGGAGGAAACAAACAGGTCTTTAATTGTTTTTAACAGATATGTAGTCCTTTTTCCTGCTTGCTTGTCTGATTAGGCAAAACCATTTCTTTCCTCCTTGGAGCCCCTCGTTCTTACCTTTCCTTTGGTCCTCATGGTTTTGCTCAGAATCCCTGTTATACTTGTGCCCTGCTTTACTTAGCTTGATACATCACCAGCTGACTTTTTTTTTTTTTTATCCTTCTAATTTCTGCATTATCTATTCCCGAGGCTGCAAGACATTTCTTCTTAGAGAGATTAATAGACGAAAGAAAACAAAAGTGGAATTTTTAGTCAAATTGTCTTGGAAGAAAGAACCTTAAGAAGCTGTCTGACATTCTGAAATTTTACTGGAAATTCATTTGTGTAAAGTTGTCATATTAAAGATGCTTTAATGGGTTTGTTTTGTCTTGCCAGACAAAGTCTACTGTGCAGTGAAATGCAGGATGTAAAATTCCAGAAAGATCAGGTTTTATTGTGAGAGTTAATAGGAGTTTCAAAGCTGATCCTACTGTGATAAGATCTGTTCAGTCTTAACAATGGAGTGGTCACTGCTGTTCATAATAAAGCATTAAATATACTGAAATGGGGCTGTCAAAACAGTTTCTTCTAGAGATTTGTTCATTTTAGAGACTTAAAACTTAAGAAAGGACATCTTTTAGAAGACTGATCTGATAAATGACACCATTTGGACCAGGGTTATTTCTGATATAACTTCAGTGACTTAAAGGGCTAGATTTAGTCTTTTATGCCAATTGACTCCCCTGGGTAAGCTTCATTTCTTTACCCACTATACATCTTGGACCGATCTGACCTGATAGCAAAAGACACATGATGTTGTTGGAAATGAAATACTGCCTTGGGGCAGAAGGATAAACTGTGTGGCCTCCTGAGGTCCTCCCAGAAATACTTTCTATAATTCTATTAGATTAAGTGGGGAAAGAAGTAGCATGGAAAGCACAAAACAGGCTAAGTCATAAACTAGCAATTAAATTGGGAGCTGGGCTGGGCTGCAGCAGAAAACGTACAATCTATCCCAATTAAGAGCTGTATCTCAAGAGAAACTAGGAGCCTGACGCAGGTGCTGACAGCAGGGAAAACACTGCATGTCTGTTCTGGAGGCAGCAACTGCTTTCTACTGGTGCTTACACAAATCCGTGGGGGTCCTTACCTCGCTCAAGGCTGTGCTCTGCTTTTAATAATTACTGTATCTATGATGTTCGGGTGGCAACTGCTTGTAGTTGTGGTCTCATCTGCCTGTGCAAAGCCAGCAGTGTGATGGCAGGTTATCTGCTAGGAGCAGGAAGACATTTCTATTATTGACACCTGCATGATGGGACCCTTCTGTCCCTATGCATTCTCAGTCCCTTTCCTGTCTCGTACCTGCTCCTTGATGGAGAATATCCACCTCTGTTTGTTCTTAGCAAGTAATTTTTCCATCTTGCAGATGGTACACTTTGGAAGCTGGGGCTGAGGGACTTCTAGGACTTTCTGCAGCAGAGATGGAGTCTGAGCAGGAGCTCTTCAGGGCCCATGTTGGCCCCTGCAACATCTCTCTTGGCCTAAGGGCACATCATCTCTCTGCTTCTTGTGTCCTATTTCCTCCTCCTGCTGTCATCTTGCCTTGAGAACAATGTCTTCTCTGCCAGTTGCCCTTGGCTCTGTTGACCCGGAACAACAATGCTTGGGGAAGGGAGAAAGAAGAGAACTACTCAGTCTCCAATTTTTCCAGGGCTCTTAAGCCATTGTGACTCCCTGTTGAAATCACCTGAGAGATGGGGATGTTGCTCAGTCTAGAGTGTAATTTCCTGGCAGGAGACCACCAGCTGAGTCCTGGCAGCCTCATCTTGGCTCTTGAGAGCTTGCCGCAGTGTAACTTTCCCAGACACTGGCAGTTCTTGTTCTGAACTGGGGGTTTTGGTGGGGGTTTTGGATGGTGTTTTTTTTTTTTTACTCCTTGGGGGTCTTCTACCATGGCTTCACATGTTTCCTCCCCTAGAGCTGTTTGTCAAGAGAAGCCTGGAATTGCTCTCTTTCCTGGTCTCTGAGATTGAATTGGCAATGTTTAAAAGGGAAATGTGACAGACCCTACATGTCAAGTTTGGGTCAGGGATGGGGTCAGTTTGATGAGTTTCCCTCCAGCCAGATATGCGTCAACTGGAGAAATGTGGAGCCTGTAATCTTTCTACACAAGTACTGGAAAAATAGACAATATGAGGACTTCCAGTTAGGGACTGTGAGCAAAAGGATATAAAGGCAGAAGTGATCTGTTCTGTGTCCCAAACAGGGGAAATGCAGGAGCAGTAGGGGAACAGGAACGTGTAGGAAATATGTAGGTCTATATTCCTTCATGAAGAGCATAAAGGATTTGCCAAGGCAGAGTGGGAGCATGGAATTTAGGGATGGGAAGACCTAAGGCTTGTAAAATAATATATGGAAATAAAGTGGGAGGAAAAGTAATTTTTGCATGAGCCACTGAGGCAAAATGAGGATAAGGGTAGAGCTGAATGATCTTGCAGGTGGTAAGAATAAATAACTGAAAATTTTCAGGACCAAGATCTTGGGGCCAAGATGAACCTGAGGGATTCAGAGCCGTGATGAGAAAGGTCGGTGGTAGCCATCAGTTTAGATTCAAGATAGGAGGCCTGTGTTAGAACAAGGCAGAAAGAGTAAAGTCTGTGTGGCAATAGCAAGCATCCAGAATGGTAAACCTAGCAGAAGTGGGGGGAGACAACAGCAAGCTGTGATGCTGTGAGCAGCAGTGGCTGGAGACAGCATATCCAGATGAGACCAGAAAAAATAAACTAGGTAAGCTAAGGGCACTGTCAGACTATCAGGGTGGAAGAGTGTGAAGAGATGCTGGAAATGGATTTTGAGTACAGTTCTTCAGAAGGGATTTCTGAGTGGAGGGAAATAAATGTCTACAATTGTTACCTAAACATCTTCATAAACACATTTAAAACACGAATTAGTTCCTGCACTACTTCTATTTTCTTTGGCCAGAAAGTGTCATGATTTTTCTGCCTAAACTCTTTATTTTTGGGCGGTGGGGGGGAACAACACATACACTTATAACTTATTGTGCTGCAGCATCCTGAATACATTGTGTTCATCCATTCAGGGAATGGAAAGAGAACCTGCACCTCACCTGACCAAGCAGAAGTGCCCACTATAAATTGAGCAGTGGCATCTCACAGCAGAAACTTCATGATCAGTTCATACAGCAGAAAACCTCCCCAGAATATCAATATTTAACCTTAAATAAAAAAAAAAAAAATAGAAAACATACAATGTGTATAAGGTCAGTGGAAGGCAGATAGAAATCACTCTGTTCATGAGTAAAATTACCTGCAATAAAAAATGCCTTCCACTCTGCATTAAAGGAATCTCTTTTCTGTGTTGGATTCACTTCTCTGCTTTTGCTATTCATTTTGATTCCTGTGAAGCCTTGCTTTCTCATAGTCTAATAGTTGTGTGTGGTCACTGTGTACGATATCTATGACTTTTTTTCTGTTATGTTGGGTGGCTTCAGTTTGAGGACCATGAAACTGGTTTTGAAATTCAGTTTGTAGCTGAAGCATCGGGCATAAAATCAGCTTGTATGCACAACGGAACAGAATATCTAGGAAAGATGTCTTACAGGGTTAAGATAATGCTTTTCAGTGCTGTTGTCAGCAGAGAGAGGCTGCAATGAATGTGAAAATGTTAGATGAGGAAGGAACACTGGCTTTGGAAAAGAGTAACAAGTGTAGGTTTCTTTTAACAGGTAAATGCAGAAGAAAGGATGTTGCAAGTCTCCGGATGCAGATATCTGGGGAGGTAGTGCAGGAGGTAAAGTAGCATTCTTGAACAATGTCATGAAACTGGGTAAGGGCAGGAGGACATTTCTGATATGAGCAAAAGCAGAGTAATGTCCACCCTGTCCTCTAGTTTTTCCACCTATTAAATATGGAGAGTATTTCCCTTAGGCAGAATATGTTGTTTCTCTTGCTGGCCCTCACAGCTGATTGCCAGTAGAGTGGCTTCCTCTTCACTGAGACAGAAGTGATCACTGGATGCTGCCTCTGTCCACAACTGTTTTGATATCTAATTCCTCTTGACTGTCTCTGCCTCTTACCTTTTTCCTCCTATCTCAGCACATGGAGGTCTTACCTTGCAACTATACGTCCCCACAATTCTGCTCCACCTCCCGTGATAACAGCCCTCCCCATGACCTTAAGACTGCTTAGATCCTACCATGTACTTTTCTTTCTGGGGTTATGCTGTGGTCAGAAAAATAACCACTGGTCTTTCTATCCACTACCACCCTCTCCTACCCCTCTCCTCTCCATCTGGCAGTAGGGAAGAGCTTGTGCCCTGTTCAGCCGGCTAGTTCTGGCACAAAGCTGGACTGGTATGGGAGCGAGAGCTGTGCCCATGTCAGATGTTTGTCTCTGCGCGGGTGAGGGGCATCCAAGGCAGGCACCCTTTCCTCCTTTCATCAGACTGCGCTCATTTATTATACCATCTGTTTTCCCAGTGCCTGAGATGATGCTGGGGATATGTGACTTGGGGCACTCAGGCAGAAACTGGCCTGCACAAGGCCGGCCATGTGTTTGCCTCCTAGCAATGCAGCGGTCAGCAGCAAATTCTTTGCTGCCGCCTCCTCTCAGTGTGGGAGAGAGCAAGTGTGGGCCTGGGTGTGTAGGAGACACAAAGAGATGAAATGCAGCGGGCAGAGAGACACGGGGGTACATGTGTGTCAGCTGGAGAGAACTGTGGGAAGGAGGGACAGACAGACAGATGGGCAGAGGTGGGGAGAAGGAAAGAGGAATGGATTGAAGGGAGGGAAAAACACAAGGAGCTGTGCGGGGGGAGACAAAGAAATGGGCTGGCTGGGGGACAGCAAGAGAAAGGCTGTGAAAGAAGGAAAGATTTGGCAGATTTGGCAGAAAGGCAGTTTTGGCAGGGTTGTGGTGTGGAGATAGATGGATTGTCTGTGCGAGAGAGATTTGTGCCAGCCAGGTACTGCGGTCATAGGTAAGTGGATTACTACAGATCTGGAGACAAATTCTGTGTGTGTGTCTGTATGTGTGTGTGTGTGTGTGTTTATATAGGAGTGAGTAAGGGTGAGCTTATTGAATGACAGTGAGGAAGAGGAGCCCTAAGGAAAGAGGAGAGATAAAGCAGAGGAAGAAAAGAACAAGGCTGGAGATGAACCCTTGGAATGCCTGGGCAGAGGGGAGGAAGGGGGTTTGTATGAGAAGAAGGGAGACTAAAAGCACTCATATGTTTGGGGCTAAAGTTTTTTTATTGGAACCTGAGAGAGGACGCAGAGCAGAGATCAGAGCACATTCCCTGGTACTAAACAGAAGCATTTTTATGCATGCAGGGCTCGCTGCCAGTGCACAGAGAGACCCAGTGGACCCAGGAATGTAAATGCCACTATGCTAGTGCAGATTGTTTCCTGCCTGCTGAACTGCAATGTGTACCTGAGCATTTGCAACCTGTGGACTGCCTATTTCAAGCATACCTCCTTGACTGCTAGAAGCTGTTAAAGATGGCAGCTCAGGCATTAATTTATCCTCTTCTCCCCCTCCTCTTGCC